CACAAAACCCCGACCCATGGAGCTGACAGATGTCCTGGTGATTAGATTTCAGGCCGAGCAGGATGCAGCCAGCTGCAGGCAGAGGAGTTAACAGCTATGCTTCTAGCTCCGTGCCTTTTGGTGGCAGAAGGGTGACTTAGCTGAAATACTCTGCCAGTAAAGATGGTGATGTACTGATGTAGGTTGTGCTTGTCTGCAAGCCTTGTCATCTGTTTCAAATATGCTGTCCCTAATGACAGCAGGGAAGCTACACCAGTTATGGGGTAAGCTTGTGAGGAAAACTGACTGCAGCTCTTTCATCAGAGATGGCTGATTTAAAACCTGAAGCAGTTCTCAGTAGAATTGCTATGACAGAAGCCATGTTATCTACCTGTTGTCTGCCTGTTTGTATGACATTGATCTGGAGCTCAACAGAAAACACTTGTGAGCTGCTGTATGTTTCTTTGAAGTCCTTATTCAACACAAGGGGCTGTGGACAACTTCTACACTGCTCAGCCACTGCAGCCGCTCACTGGGACCTGCACTAGCCATGTTTTGGGATGTGCAAAACAACCCCTTCTCCTGTGCATGTGGTCCTCCGTCCTCAGAGCTGATGCAGCAGGTAGGTAGGAAGTGCCTCCCTGGCTCCCTGTGATCCAGAGCTTGGAAGTGTCCTGCTGCTGGCATCTGGGAGGAGTCCCTGTGGTGACACAAAGTCAGCTGGACCCCTGAAGCAGTGCCATGGACCAGTAACTGAGGTGTTGGTACCATCGCTCCGCAGCAAATGGGTATTTCAATTCTTCCCTCTCAGTGTGTGTGAACTTAGAACAGTTCTCCCAGTCTGGAGCACGTGCCTAGCCCTCTGAGGCTGTGAACACATCCAATGTACTTAAAAGGAGCAGAAGCTTTAAAAGCTCTTTAAACTCCTTTCCTATGTTTGCGTGATCTCTGGTGAGGGCGTCTGAGCAGCTCTGTCAGCACAGGGCTTTGACTGCTCTCTTATTAATGCAGCCGTAAAAGAGGGAGCTGATGTAGTTGAGAGGGGAAGGAGCAGTTAGCAGCAGGTGATTTACACAGTAATCTGTCATCTTCAGCACTTGTGAGTAACCCTACCCGTGCTTTACAGACGTGTTGTTCTTCTGCTTTGTAATATCTCTCCCTGTTGCATTCCAGTCACAAGGCACGTCAGCAAACACAGCTCCTGTGGAGGTTAAATGACAGGTTGAGATGGATGTGCCTGACAGGCTGATCCCGAGGGTGGCAGAATGCTTCATACCTTGTTAGTGCCACTTAGTCTTTGCCAAGGTAACTCTCCCCTGAAGGTGATGGTAGGGAGGCAGAGCTGGCGTGGGGGTCAATGGCAGCGAGTGCTCCCCTGCAGTGGGGATGAGGAGGAAGGGCAGTGGTGGCTGCTGGGTTACACATGGAGCGTGCAGGAGCCTGGCGGCCCTGCGGGACAGGTGTTTGGTACCCGACCACTCAGTGCCCCCGTCCATTGGGTTTTCACTTCCTCAGTGGACGTTTGCACCTGTATCAGTTGGATTTCCAGCCCTACCTATGCAGAAACACCGTGCCGCTCACAGGGTTAATGCGTTCGAGAAGGACATGCGTGTGGTTGCCCCCTTCTCTCGCCTCCTCCCCGTTTTTAACGCTACAGAGCATCATTTTGAATTGAAATGGTCCATAATGGTCCTTTTTTTCACTTGTCTTCAACAACGTGAACGCTAAATTATAGCTGTGCAATTATGTAAACAATGGGAATGCTTCCAGAATGAATACTTCCTTTTAAATTTTCATTTTGTGTAATTGCTGAAAGGTTCGGGGCCATAATAAACCAAAATTATTTTACACGTTTATCATTCTAAAGGTCAATTATGAAAGAAGTAAAGAAACAACACGGCACAGAATGAGTAAACCCATTTCTATTGCCATCACCATATGCTTTTCTTATTGCTTGTGTTTTCCCAGTTACTGTGTACATAGCATTCAATTAAAGTGATTCATTTACCAGGCTGCGAGCTGCCGAGCAGGGTCTGCATGTACCGGGCAGCGCTTCGGAGGGGAGGAAACAACGGCCTCTGTTTGAATTACCTGATTTTTGTGCTGTCACTGATAGGACATATGCTCTCCCTTGGACTCTTTCTCATGATGAGCTCACAGTGCTCCTGGACTGCTGCGTGAAGCCACGCTCGGCTGTGAGCAGGAAACGGGCCTGGTGGGGAGCGGGAGGAACCGGCGCAGCTTCACCTGGAAGCAGCATCCCAGCAGGAGCTTCTGCCCTGTCCGTGCTGCAGGACCCCAGTGTTACCTCAGACACACCCTGCCTTGTGTTAGTTCAAATGAAGTCACTCAGGCTAGCGTGGATCTGCACCGGAATGCCCGGGGTGGCAGTGGGAAGTGATGGGAACCAGGCTGGATGCGGTTTTGGCTGGGCTGTTACACACTTGTACACTGTCAGCTTCCAACAGCTGGGTGTGTTGTAGCTCACAGCGCACAGCCTGGGCTGGGAACCCATCACTTTGAAGCTACAGGACAAAACAGAGGAAGTGAGGCTTGTTTCCTTAGCTTTTCCAAAGGAATTTCCAGAAGTTTCTCACTATGGAAACCCATGTACTTCTTTAGGGGTAGCACATCTCACAAACAGCGACTACATCTGTGCGGCCTCATCCTCACAGCTTCTTGCCGTGTGTTGTCACAGGGTTTGTTAAAGCTGTGTTTGCTGTGCACCCCCAGGTATGAGTGTATGGAAGCAGCAGTGTTGCTGCTGCTCTTCCATCCTGTTCCTGGGCAGTGACCCTCGGTGGGAGCCCACGAAGCCGGTGCCCATGCCGGTGGTGGTGAGCAGATGGGGCTGAGCAAGGACAGGCGCGACGGCCGTTGTTTGTGCCTCCGAGGCTCGGTTCCCTCCCAGGCCGGGTTAGCCCAGGCCCTTTCACTGTGGCCTGTGTCAACAGCAGCCTCGCAGAGCCCATGCACATCCCCTACCTGGCTGCAGGTGCTGCGGGGAGCCGGCATCAATCAGAGCCTGCGTTAGAAAGGTGGGTCCTTTGTTCTCCCAGGGCGGGTTTATCACCCGCTTTACGAGCGGCTGCATCCATCTGCTCCCTCTTTGCATGTTTGCCTTGACTGATACTGACTTTAAAATGTATCAAAGGAAGTGATTAAAGGCAGTTTAAACATTAACTCGAGTGGCATTTAGCTGATTCAGGAAAGTGAAAGCATTATCTGCTACTATGTGAAAAACCAGTGTTCTTCACTGAAAATACACACCAGTTGTTTCATGGGGTGTCACTGCTGTGGGTGCACAGCAGGGCACTGACCAGGTTCTGCCCAGGTGCTCAGAAGGGGATTCAGAAAGTACTGCTGGTGTAAAAGCTCCTCTTCATGGAGAGCAAAGGGAGCTTGGCCTCTTTAGGTTCTGATGTACGGGCATGCTCTGGGACTGAAGTTAAGTTCAAGCCTTCCTTAGCGCATCCTAACACCAGAAGAGGTGGACACTGGAAATGGTTTTCCATTGCAGCTTTTCTTTGACATTTTATTGAGACAAAAACTGATTTTCTACATAATGTAGAAATTGCTTTTCCCAGTTCTTCAGCAAATGCAGTGTTCCGGGTAAGGATTATAGAGATTTTGTGCCTGAGTTTAAACCTGCTGAAACCCTGTAGGAAAGAACTGTTGACTAGGGGAGCTTTGCTGTGATGTGGAGAGGCTGTGGAGCATTGAGGTGTGGAAGGATTCAGGTTGGAATGCGTTCTGTGTCACAGGTAGCGGGAGAGCAGCGCTGGGGTTGGTGCTCTGCTCTCAGCCTGTGGGGCTGTCTGTAAAACCCAGGAGAGCCCCTTTGCTGCTTCAGGCGGTGGCAGCGGCTCCTCTCCGCAGGCCTGCCCTGGGTTTGCTGTCTCGGGTGTTCTGCAGAGTGCCGGGGGTGAGCTGGTCGCTGCGGGTCTCTGGGGCACCGTGCTGGCTGCCATCCCTCGCTGCTTCCACACCAGGGTATTTCCCAGCGGATCGGAGGAGCAGGAGGGTACCGGGATGCTGGAGCAGCCTGGCAGTGCTTGGCGCCTGCTTTGCTTCCTCTGGGCAAAGCCACGGCCCATGGGGGCACCGCGGGAGTTCATGGCCACAGAGGTTTGGGTAATGGGGTTTTAGGGAATAACTCACTGGGAATGATGCAATACTTCATCTGAAATGGATTCATGGCTTTGGATTCAAGTCTTATGCTTAAGCACAGAGAGACACGAGGGTTTGTTTGGGTTTCTTCCAACAGGAATTTAAGATTACAACTATTATAAAAGTACAAAATGCACTTTTCTCACCAAGCTCATCAGCAGGAAGCAGTGGCTGGTACCTGATGGTTGGTTTCTACATAGAGCTGTGGGGCTGTGAATTATCTGTCACCATGGTTAGCATGGAACTGGTGAATTGCAAAGATGAATCACAGAATCCACCAGGTTGGAAAAGCCCTTCAAGCTCACCCAGTCCAACCCTTACCCCAGCACTGCCAAGGCCACCCCTAGCCCATGGCACTGAGGCCTCGTCTCCATGGGGTGTGAACACTTGCAGGGCCGGTGCCTGCAGCCCTGCCCTGGGCAGCCTGTTCCAATGCCTGAGCACCCTCTGGGGCAGGAATTGTTCCTCAGCTCCATCTAAACCTGCCCTGGTGCAGCTTGAGGCCGGTTCCTCTTGTCCCATCCCTTGTTCCTTGGGAGCAGAGCCCAGCCCCTCCTGGCTCCATCCTCCTGTCAGGCAGTTGGAGGCAGCCATCAGGTCCCCCCTGAGCCTTCTCTTCTCCATCTGAACCCCCAGGTCCCTCAGCCCTTCCCCATCACCCCTGTGCTCCAGGCCCTGCACCAGCTCCATTGCTCTTCTCTGGCCCCACTCCAGCCCCTCAATGTCTCTCTTGAGTGAGGGGCCCAGAGCTGAGCACAGGATTTGGGGTGCAGCCGCCCCTCTCCCTTTTGGTTTTGGCCCTTCGTTGTTGTTGTGTTTCCCTTGTTCTGAAGCAGCCCCTTCTCTTCCAGGATATCCTGAACACGGTCATCAGGCACTGCCCGCCGTGGTTTTTCTTCCTGGGCTTGCCTGGCTTTACCATGCTCATCGGGGACTTCATCACGGCGGCGGCGCGGGTGCTGAGTGCGGACACGCTGGAGGTGAGGGGCCGCCCGCTGGTGCTGATGGGGCCGGTGTGCATGGGCTCACCAGTGCCGTGTGGAGCGGTGCTGGGGCAGCGGGGCATGGGGTCCTGCATGCGCTGCACGCTCCTGCTGCAGAGGTGTTCCATCAGGCACGGGGTGAGGAGCGGTCCCGCTGGGCTGCAGCGCGCCTCTGCGCTAGAGGCAGGGCTCGCACCTCAGAGCCTCATTAGCTCCTCACAGGGAGCCCATAGGGACTCCTGTGGCAGTACAGGATCTCTGCTAAGCATCAGCACTAACACAGCCATGACGCTGCCCAAGGAGAGTGGGGAAGGAGAAGTGAAAGAGCGGATCAGGTGGGATGGCACAGATGGGGAAGCTCTGGCAGAGCAGGGAAGCTTTGTCTATGGAACACCAGCCAGGGGGGACCTGCCTGTCCGTTTGGGACAAGTGCCTTTGCTCTGCTCTTGACCTCGGTGCAGCTGCATGGGGACAGGGCCCTCTCCTGCCCCTGCAGAACTGAGCCTGGCTGTGCCCTCTCCATCATCCTATCATCAAACAGGCGTCTCATCAAAACCCTGGTCAGCGAGCCAGAGCTCGGGGTGCCAGGAAGAAATGAATAGCCAGCTTTCCATGGGGGAAAAGCCCAAACCACCACCACCTTCCATTTCTCCTGCAAGCATGAAACTTAGCATGCATTGCATTTTCAACAGGACACAAGATGAGATCGCAGCAGTTAATGCATTTATAGCTCCTGCCATGTTGCTTTTGATGGTGCTGTTGAAGCAGGAATCTCTCTATGCACTTCTATCACGTATAAAGTCAGGTTGAGTGCATTGTGCTGTCCCTTGTGCCCCACGATCAGCTAATAGTAGTGCTGGATTAATGCTAAAACTCTCACTCAGCTCTTCTTTAGGTTGTTCTGTGGGTTTTGTTGATGCTGAATCGTGGATGGCTGGGTTGTGTAATGACAGAGGAGGTATCAAAACTGTAGAATGTGCTTAGAAGTGGGGCCAGGTCCCTGCTGGAGGCAAAGCTCAGGCTCAAAGAAAGAGCAGAGCAGCCCAGCAGCTGACACGGGCAGGTCAGTGCTTGTTAGTCACTGCTGTAGTGCAGCCCTTGCTGCACTTGTAAAGGAGAAGCCACAGGGATGTGTTCCTCAGGGCACTGCTATGGGGGAGCACAGTGTGCTTGGTGTCCATGGTGACACACACGGCCTCCGAGCCGATGCCGTTTTCGGGCTTCTGGGTGTGCTCAGTGGGTGTCTGTGTTCGCTCCCGGGCAGGCGCCCCGCTCGGAGGCTCACACCATCCTTGGGTCCCTGGTTTGCTTCCCAAACACCTACCAAGCACTCCCACTGCTGCGGCCCGCTGCCGAGGCGGGCGAGATCATCGCAGGAACCGCGGATGTGAAGGTAAAGCCCAGCCCCACCAGGAGACCCCCATGGACCTTGTGCTCTCCCTGCTCCATCGCTGCGTGCCTGCTGAGGGCTGTGCTCAGACCCCCACAGCTGCACACACTGCGTTGTGCATTGCTGTGCTTAACAGGAACCCTAACACTGACAAAGCCGAGATGCTGCAATTGCAGTTGATTTCCAAGGAGAGTGAACTGGTTCCGATCAAATGCGACGTTTGTCAGGCAGATGCTGTCAGGTCAATTCATTAAATGATGGTGGTGGGGTTATTTAAAGTGTCCATTCATGGTACCTGTGTACATCAGTCCTGTAAGAGATGGGGGGGTGCAGAAGGGGAGGTGGTTTTGGTATTACACTAAATGTTAAGCAAATTCCACTACTAGAACCATCATCTCGTGTGAATGGTTTTTCCTTGAGCAGTGATTTCAGTGGACACCTGGAGGTAGGAACTGCCTTGAGGGATGGAGAACTCTGTCATTTCCTGACCTTCCCAGCAAGTCTTGTAGGGGAAAAGTGACACGTGCCCACCCCAGAGACCCACCAAAGGGCTGCTTTGGCAACATAAAGCGACTTTATTTAAAGTACATGTATCAAAAAGATGCTTATTCAAATTTATTTTGTTATTTTAGTGTTACCTCATAAATATCTTATTGAAGAATGCTACAGAGGAGCCAAGTGAAGCTGCAAGGTAAACTACTGAGTTAACCAAAGGGGAAAGTCTTTCTCACTACTTGTTTCTGGGGCTTGTACAGCTGAGTTGTTTCTACTGCCTTGTGGTTTGATCCTGCTTAGTTTGGTTCTTTAGGCCTAGAAGGTGAGGTTCATTCTGTGCCGTGAAGGTGCTGAGCTGTGGTGTGAGAGGGAAAGCAGAGACCCTGTCTTTGTCATGTCTGTCACTCTGCTGAAGCCTCTTTGCCTTTCCCAAAGGTGCATAGCCATCTGTGGCCTCGGAGTGTGGATATGTGAAGAGCTGACGCAGTGCACAAACCACCCCCAAGTGAAGGAAGCAATCAATGTCATAGGTGTGACACTGAAGGTACTGCTGGGACAGCCTCTAGTCGATAGCACCGTAGCATCGTGTGAAAGCGTAGCTTCACTTGATCAGTAGTTGCTGGTTATGTGGAGCCCGGCCTGCTGGTTTGTTGTTCCATTGCTTGAAGCCCCAACAGGATGCTGCTGAGCAAACCACAGCCTGGGGCTTTCTGCAGGCGGTAGTGGGGTGGCATTAACTGTCCCCAGGAAGCTATCTCCCAGGTCTGAACCTCTGCCTGTCATTAGCAGCTCCTTATCTTCAGGGAGCATGGTTCTGAGTCTGTGCCTGGTTCTTCAGTGGGGCCCTTGGCAGTGGCACAGAACCCAGCCTGGTTTGGGTGGGAGGGACCTTAAAGCTCCTCCAGCTCCAACCCCTGCCACGGGCAGGGACCCCTTCCACTGGAGCAGCTTGCTCCAAGCCCCTGTGTCCAACCTGGCCTTGAGCACTGCCAGGGATGGGGCAGCCACAGCTTCTCTGGGCACCCTGTGCCAGCGCCTCAGCACCCTCACAGGGAAGAGCTTCTGCCTAAGAGCTCAGCTCAGTCTCCCCTCGGGCAGGTTCAAGCCATTCCCCTTGGCCTGTCCCTACAGGCCCTTGTCCCAAGCCCCTCTCCAGGTTTCCTGCAGCCCCTTTAGGCACTGGAGCTGCTCTCAGGTCTCCCCTTCAGGAGCCTTCTCTTCTCCAGGCTGCCCCAGCCCTCGCAGCATCTCCATGGCCTCCTCTGGACTCGTTCCAGCAGCTCCAGGTCCTCTTGTGTCCTATAGAACAGTGGAAGACACTTGCAGAACCAGCCTATGATTCTGTACCCAAAGCCCCTTCCCACCACAGGCCAAGTTAAGATCACACAGATAAGGTCACACCTGCCTTATCCTGGTGTGGGCAATGCACTGTTGCAACATCACCAGTTTTTTATGGTTTGTATGCATGCACAATGATTTAAAACACAGGAAAATGGAAGGAAATATACCTGGATATTTTACGTGGATATTTATATTCCAATCTCCTCTTCTCTTCCAGTTCTCTAATAAACTGGTAGCTCAGGTAGCCTGTGACGTTCTTCAGCTGCTGGTTTCTTACTGGCAAAAGCTTCAGAAGTACGAGCCCTCCCTGTCCAGGAAGATCACTGAGGTGAGGCAGGTTCTCTCAAGTGTTTGTGTGGAAATCACGGGCAAAGTTGTCTTTATTGCCTCGTTCCCTGCTTGAGCCGCTCTGACTGTGGCTTTGTGTTAGCTTTGTCTTTCTACAGTTCTTGGTCCTGGGACCAGTGTGCTTCTCTTATCTGTAGTGATTCATTGCCAAAAGGCTCAGGAAAACTGTGTAGTCTCCCTTGGACATTGATCTATAAGGGCAGAGAGATGCTCCTGAGAGAATTTAACCTCTCTCAAACCCTGTTCCTATGAGGTTCATGCTCTGCCTTTATACTGAAGGAAGTGAGATGTCTTTGTGAAATTCTGTTCCCATGTAGATCCTCGTGGCCACTATTGCCTTTCTCTTGCCGAGTGCTGAGTACTCCTCAGTGGAAGCAGATAAAAAGGTACGGTGCTGGAAAGAGCAGCCTCTGTCCCTTGTGTGTGCTGCTGGAGATGGTTATTGAGTGAAATTGCTTTAAGTTTGGGTGAATTTAATAGAATATACCTAAATGCTGTGTTACATGGTTTTATTCAGTTCATAGTTTCATTGCTGCTCTGCCTCTTGGACTGGTGTATGGCACTGCCCATGAAAGTGCTGCTGGAGCCAGTGTCTGCTGGTGCTCTTGAAGATCAACAAGCATCCAAAGCTCCTTTGCTGGACTACATTTACAGAGTGAGTCTGAGGAATGAATGGGATTCTCTCACAGATCCTGCTGGGCACAGAAGCAGTTTTAACGAAGTCCTGGATTCTCACAGTGAGCAGAAGTTGTCCAAGTGAGAAGCGATGTGATGGGGAGGTCAGGGCTAGGACAGACAGAGGCTGGTGAGGAGAGAAAGGCACAATGCTTGAAACAGTGAGCCAGGGAAAATCGTCTTTGCAGAAGTATTTCAGTGATTGACGTGGGCTGTTTGAACACAAGGTGAGTCCTGCAGAGAGCAGTTCAGTGCAGAAGCAGTGCTGATGAAGAGTGCTCTTTTCGAACATGAGCATCCCTTGTAGCATGTCCTGGCTTTCACCATGTAAAGCTGACAGTGGACGTGTGTAAGGGGGTGCTGCAGTGTCCCTGTCATTGCCCCTCAGCCCATGCCTGTGTGCTGCAGGTTCTGCACTGCTGTGTGAATGGCTCCAGCACCTACACCCAGCAGAGCCACTACGTGCTCAGCCTGGCAGACCTCTCCTCCAGTGACTACGACCCCTTCCTGCCGCTGGGCAACGTGAGGAGCTCAGAGCCAGCCCAGTGCCACTCCTCCACAGACCTGGGCAACCTGCTCACTGTCGCCGAGGGTAAGAGCTCAGTGTGGTGAGGACCAGGGCATCAGCCCTCAGCAGCTGGGGAATGGAGCTCCCCAGGGGACAGCTCTTCTGGGAAACGTGCTCTTTCCTTTGGGTTCGTGCCTGTACTTCTAGTTTTAACAGAAATGGTGAAAACATTAAAATATAATTTTAATGCCACAGAGATGCTGCGAGGCAAGGGGAATGGCTTGAACCTGACAGAACAGGGGGGACTGAGCTGAGCTCTTAGGCAGAAGCTCTTCCCTGTGAGGGTGCTGAGGCGCTGGCACAGGGTGCCCACAGAAGCTGTGGCTGCCCCATCCCTGACAGTGTTCAAGGTCAGGGGCTTGGAGCAAGCTGCTCCATGGCAGGGGTTGGAGCTGGAGGAGCTTTAAGGTCCCTTCAACCCAAACCATCATGTGATTCCATGACTCTCTAACAACTAAGGCAAGCTTCTCCAATAGGAACAGAAAGGTGCTGATGCTCTGTTTGAGTTGCTCCTGCTGCTCCCAGCCATCTGTGATGTTTTCACTGTTCTAGAGAAAAGGAGGAGGAATCTAGAGCTGATCCCTCTGACGGCGCGGATGGTCATGACTCACCTGGTGAACCACCTGAGCCACTACCCGCTCAGCGGAGGCCCTGCCATCCTGCACAGCCTCCTCAGCGAGAACCACGACAACTCCTACGTGGAGTCCTCCGAGCTCTCCTCGGAAGTCTTCCGGAGCCCCAACCTGCAGCTCTTTGTGTTCAATGACAGTACTCTTATCTCCTACCTCCAAATCCCCACCGAGAAGACGGACACCGAGCCAGCCGCAGCGCCCTCGGACGTCAGGGTGATTGTCAGAGATATCTCAGGGAAGTACTCTTGGGATGGCAGGATACTGTACGGGCCTCTGGAGGGCTGCCTCCCGCAGCAGAGCCCAGCGAGCGCGCTGGTCGTCTCCAGCAACCCCCAGCACCACTTCGTTTCCCAGAAGGACCTTTCTCAGGGGGAAGAGGGAGAAGATGCTCTGGACCAGCTGCTGGAGAGGATTGGTACCACCAGTCCCGAGTGCCTCCTGCATCCCCAGCGGAAGCTGAACGAGCCGGCGCCGCCACCCTTGGGCATGAGCTGCGAGCAGGAGCGCGCGCTCACGGAGGTGCTGATGAGGCAGAGTGCCCAGGAAGAGCAGTACATCCTCCAGTGCAGCTCGGACCTCAGCAGGAGGCTGGCCCCCCAAGAGGAACCGCGTCCTGTTGAGCCACAGGCTTCCTTCTATTTCTGTCGGCTCTTGCTAAATGACTTGGGAATGAACTCCTGGGACAGAAGGTAGGAAGAGAGGATGCAGAGCATGTTTGTGGTCCTCTTCTCACTTCTACCCCCAAACCTGTGCACACTTAAACTGAGAATTATACAGCTGGGTGGTGGTCAGAGCAGGATTTTGAACATCTGCATGTACCTGTTTCAGTGATTCTTTTGAATAAACATTTGTCGATTGCTTATAGTAAGAATAATGATAAACCCCCATTTGCATCGTGCTGATTTGATTCCCTTCTCCTGGTATTTGAATGGGGAAATGCTGTCTGTGCTGTGCTGCGTTTTCCTTCACCTCCTGTTTCATGTATTCATAGGAAGAGCTTTCATCTTCTGAAGAAGAATTCGAAGCTGCTGCGAGAACTGAAGAACCTGGATTCCCGCCAGTGGTAGGCAAACGGTTACTGCCCACACCAGTGGGAAGGGGAGCATTTCCCAAGGAGCAGTGGGAAGTCACCAAACCCAAGCTTCAGTAATACCGCATGCGCTAGCAATATGAATATCTGCATGGAAAAGGGATGGCTTGTTTCTGGAGGGTTCTGGAGCGTGGATGGACAAGCTCTGGTCACTGGCACTAGGTACACAGCATGCCCAGCCAGTAGCAAATCCCAAGGCACAGCAACCTGTTTCCTGTTCTCTTTAGCTGAGAGGGGAGGCAGAACCTGCAGATACTCTGTGGCCTTGGCTCAGCTCACACAAGGACTGTTCCCTGCAGGGCGAGCCCTGTGGCAGGGGCAGCGGTCGCAGGGGTGATCTCCATACAAGTACTCTGCAGCCAGGCAGTGGCAGAACAGAGTGCTGCTTACTGTGTTTGATGTTTCATTACATGACGTGCAGCCCTTGGGAACCTGGAGCATTGAAGAGTCCTGGTTTTCTGCTATCCCAACGATTCCCACACCAAACCCACCCAGGTTGTTTCCAAAGCAGGCAGCTGTCCCTGTTGGCCCCGTGCAGCTCAGCCCGGGCTCTGGAAGTCACTAATGGGTTTTCTTTCTCGTACATCATCAGCCTGTAATTAAAATCCTGTAGGTCACATTAAGCTCCCGTTAACACCTGGGCCAGCACCTCCTTGCAGGGCTGCACAGATGTGTGTGATTAACCCTCTAATTGGAACCTGGTCACCACTTCTGCTGCTGCTGCACTCGGTCGGCTCTGCTCTTGGCTGCTGTGCCTGCACCATGGTCATGGGGGAAACACTGGGGAAAACCTACTTCTGGAGCTGGAAGTGAGGGATGTATTTGTGTGCATGGAAGGAAGGGACGTGCAGAGCTAACGGGGGTCACCTGCTCATTGCTTTTGAGTGCAGGTGGGCTAAAAACTAACTCTGAGCTATAGCTTGTGTAAGTTTTGTTTCTTGTATCCCATGGCAGCCGGGAGACCCACAAGATTGCAGTGTTCTACATTGCAGAGGGGCAGGAGGACAAGTGCTCCATCCTGTCCAACGCAAGGGGAAGCCAGGCCTATGAAGATTTTGTTGCTGGACTGGGCTGGGAGGTAATAATAGTCATGAATTTAGGCAAGCTTCCATACTGGACACCAAGGGCTTAGATCACGGTGTGGTTTCTAATTCTTTGTGGGGGTAAAGTAAATCTTAATGCACACTGATATTTAGCAGTACTTAGCAGAGTGCTGTAAATCCCCATGCTGCTCCTGCACAAATGCATCCTCCCTGTCTCTGAGGGACCCACGGTGCTGCAGGGGACACTTCTGCTTTCTGCATCTTGAAGGGCTGGAGCATGACTTTACCTTCATTTTACCTCCTGTTAACTCCTCACGTGGTCAGGCCACGTATGCAGCCACAGGAGAGCTTTACAAAGAGCAGACACAGTTGTGTTCAGTTTGCTCTGTTGAAATGGTGTGTCAGGGACCTGACTGCCGTGAATGCTTCTGGGTTTTGGCTATGGAGAGTAACTGTGTTCCTGCTTAAGGATTTAAGTGACGCAAGGTCTGCAGGGGAAGGTGGCATCCTCAGTGATGCAGCTGGGAAAACAAACAAGCTTTTGGACACAGGCTTCTCTTCAGGGGCACATGTCTTCTAAATAATCTTCTAGAGTAGTTCCTTCTGAGGTTTTTCTTCCTGTACCAATGCCACTTTGTTCTGCAGCTTTCCTGGTGGTTTGTATTTGCTCTGCACTTCAGTTGCTTCTCAGGGTGTGTGCTTGCAGTGGGCTCGCTAAGCCTGCGCAGCCCTCAGAGCAGCTGCTCATGACAATGCTGCTGCTTCCTGGCTGTGTTTGCTGGAAGGGAGGCAAAGAGCCACAGAGATAATGACTGGGGCCTAGTGAAGAGGTGGCTGCTGTTAGTAAAGGTCAGGTACAGGAATGGGCAACAGAGAGCTCTAACTAATGCAAAGATCACAAACCCATAGGGGAAGGCTTCTCTTTCTCTGGGGTGGCTGCAGAATCATAAAGGGGTAAACTCACCAGGGCTTGATATATAAAGAAGCACTGATGATTGATTGGTCACTTCACATCCCTTCTCCTTCAGGTCGATCTGTCCACGCACGGGGGGTTCATGGGCGGCCTGCAGCGCAACGGCAGCACGGGACAGACAGCACCCTACTACGCTACCTCCACCGTGGAGATCATCTTCCATGTGTCCACGAGGATGCCTTCAGATTCAGATGATTCACTCACCAAAAAGGTAAATCCCTTGCTGTGGATCTCAGAACAGCGCCTGCAGCTTCCCTGTGCTGAAATCAAAGTTTAAACTGGAAGCAGACTGTGCTGCCTGGTCCTCGCAGGCCATCTTTGCTGTGCCACATGGTGCTCTGCAGCTACATTAGCTGGAGTAAATGGCATCTAAATTCTGGATTCTGAAACACAATTAACATTTCCATGGTAGCCTCAAATGCCACCATTAGCAATAATATTAGCAATAATTTCATTTGTATGTTGTCTGCCTGCCAAAACTGTTGTAGTTTGGTAGAACAAAACAACCAAATGCAGCATAATAAAACCTTACCGATGAATCATCCAGCATGGAACAGGGAATAAAGGAGTGAAAGAGAAGTGACAAGCATAGTAGCGAAGGTAGCCAGCTGATATGTAAAGTCATTATGCAGTTATTCACAATTCTGACAAGCAGACTCTGCTTCGGAGATGGCCAGAACCCAGCCCAAAATGTTGTTGGTATCAGTGCTTATCATTTGTCTTCCCTAACAAGGAGCGAGGTGAGATTACGGTGCTTGCCAACTGCTGCTCACAGTCAAAGAAGATTTTAGGTGCATACCAAATCTTTGCCTTTTTAATGAGGATTGGCCTGCATAGGTTGTTAATGTGTGTTAATGATGCTGCTACAGCCATCCCGTCTACCATGTGATGCTATTGTGCTCTGAAAATCATCCATAACTATGTCACTGGGTGATTACATTTGGTTTCAAATAACATGTGCTTTTCCTCAAGATCAAAAGGTGGGATTTCTGCTCACCCAGCATTGAACAGTTAACCAGATCCCTGCTTTTCTTACGGTGCTATCTGGCATTTAAAACAAAAGTCAACAACATGACATGTTCCTCTTCATGAATGCGACTCATTAGCTGCATATTAGTGGATTTACGTGGCCATGGGAAAAATGCAGTCTGAGTACTTCAGGATGGAGCAGTAGGGCTGTGGCTCATGTGAAGAGGCTGTACGGTCTCTGTCACTTCACTAAGGTAGGACCATCTGCATTTTATTGTTCCTGGCCAGTATTTATCCAGCTGCTAGTTAAAAACTCCAGTGATGAATGCTTTCCAGTTTCCCTAGGCAACATATTCCTATGCTCCACAAGAGCATTTCTTGTCGCATCTACTTTGCTCCAATTTAAGCCCTTTGCTCTGTTCCACGTGGATATTGGAACAGATTATTTTGCAGCAGCCTTGCTCATGTTTGAGAGCTGCTGCTCTGTCTCCTTCTTCCTACTCAAATTGTGTTCATTTACTCTAATCTTAGCTCCTGGGTTTTGTGGAAATGCTGCCTCGCTGTTGAGTGATACGTCACCAGGGAGAGGAGAGAGCACAGTCTGACAGAGCTACCACAAGGGGAGAAGTGGGGTTTAATTGCCAACAGTCTATTTTACTGATTCTCCTAATTCCCACCCACGTTAGGGATTAACACAGACATTGAGAGAGTCTGGTTATTCTGTTTAATTGTCTTCCCCGTGTTGGCTTTAGGAGAATTTCTTCTTTGTTAGAAACAAAAAGCAAAAGCAGTTTGTAGTTGCCAGTCCCCCAGTCTTGAAGTGCTGGGAAAGCAGCCCAGCTCCAGTACCTGCTATCTGCAGAAAACAAGCCAAGGAATTGCTCTGAGACTTAAAATCTGCTGTAGGGATGGAGCCCTGCAGGGATCAAGCTGCGTGTCCTGTAAAGAAGGACAAAGCTCTGAGCACCCTCATGGACCCGAGGAGCTGATGGCCTGGACCAGAGGACTTCCAGAGGGCTTTTTGAAAGGAATAATCTGTGCTTGTGCACAGAACGGTTCTGGTTGATTTGTGGCAGCTCTTGCATAAGCAAGTGTGTGTTCCTGTGCAAATGAGCATAGACTTCTTACCCAGCTTGGCAGACCTGCAGCTAAGGATGGAGGCAGGATGTGCTTCAGAAGCACTGCAGGATTTCTGGACAATTCTTAGGTCTCTAAGTTCTTTGAAGATGCTCAGGGATGAACTCGCCTGCATTCGAAACCAGCATTTTGAGCACGAGCATATCCAAACCATCTCTACAGACAGCATTAAACCTACTGTGGTTCTTATAACCCAATAAACATGTCCATTTCTAGACATTTCTGTTGCAGACCTTAGCTGTGGAGGCCCTGCACTGCAGTACAGCTACATCGATGCTTTAGCAGCACAGTTCCGCAGGCCACAGAAGTCCCGTGTTGATTTTGGCAGCCTTTGCCTGTGCAGAGCACAAGGGGCATGTGCTTGAGGAGAAGCACGTGTCTGCTGTGACTTACTCTGAAGCAAGAGGGAAATGGATGTGTTCCCCCCGCTGGCTGTGCTGCCCTTGTGCATCCTGCAGTACCTGGTTAACGGCGTGATCAGATGCAGCGGAGATCACAGCCACTCTGCAGGTCCTCACCAGCACTCCAATAGTTCTACTTGCACAGCGAGCCCTGGGCTTGGCTCCCGCCTCAGGTTGTTGGGGCACTGGGTCCAGGTCAGCAACATCATTTTGTGTTTATTTCTTCTTCCCAATGATGCTCCCTTTTCATGTCAGTGTGTCAGGGAAAGGCACATTCCAGTGTCACCCGCTCCCTGCTCCATGTCAGTGTTTGCTGTGCTGGAGCACAGCACAGTGGGCACGGAGGACGCTGTTACTGAAGCAGAAAATCAGATGTTGCCAGTCAGGATGCAGTGGGGGCCACAACTTCCCCTGCTTCCATCAGGCAGGGCTGTGCATGGGTAGAGTGTGGGACCCGAGCCCCTTATCTCTGAGATCTTGATGCCGTTCCTATGGGCTCTCCTGTGCTTGTTTTGCCTGCAGACAGGCAGCAGGAGCTCAGCGCAGAACAGAAGGGTTTACCACCTGCTGGCCCGGGAGCTGGGGCAGAGGCCGCATCCTCTGCGATGCGGAATGAAGCAGATGCAGTAATTTTACTTAAATATGTTATTATGGCTCTTTATTTTTACTGCACAAGAGGGGCAATTCATTTCTGGTTTGAATTCACAGGAATAAGTGCACTTCTACCGAGGATGAGCGTGGCCCCTTGTGGTGTAGTGCAGTTGTGATTTGCAGTTTGTATTCCTTTAGTTGAAGGAAATGCTGACATATTATACTGCTTACGTGGGGAAGGAAAAACAGGCAGAAAAAACCCTCTCCAAATAAGTCTGAGCCCTGAAAAAAGTGTTTCTTGGTGGAGTAATCAAAAGTCAGCAGGTATCTGCTGCTGTGGGGCTCTGCAGCATTGGCTCTGAACTGGTTTTTAACCTGGCTGGCTTGTGGCAAAGTGAAGATCAATCGTAGTAGCAGCATCCTGCCTGAATTGTACTGAAAGGCTTAAAATGGAGCTGCCGCAGTTGTGAGTGCTTTATTCTGTCTCCTCCATTGTCATAGCAGAACTTTCCAATTCAGAAATCTGGTTGCAACCCCATACTGAACTCTTGCTCCTCTGCTGCAGAAATTTGTTAGCTGGAGCTAGATTCGATTTTTAGCAGCTAATCTAACTGCTGTAGGGGTTTGCAAAGTGGGGACAGAGCTGTGCTATTGGATTTGTCCAATTCATTTGACTCCAGGACTATAATTGCACTTATGTCTTACAAGGCTTTTATAGCCTAGGGCTGGCGAGCAGCAGAAAAACAAATTGGCAGTGATACAGTAAGAGTGAAAGGGAATGAAAGGCACACATTATCAGTCTCCAGGCAGCACTGTTCTGGCAGGAAGTTTCTTGGTTAATTTACAAATAAAACTTAGATTTTCGGATGCGTTCGCTGTCAGCAGACAATGGGGATGTCAGCCCCCACTGGTACTTAGCGAAAGTAGCAGCCGTGCCTTCCCCAGAGCAGGAATTCTTCAGTCAAACAGACGACTCGTCTCTGGAGCCAGCTGGCTCTCTAATGCAATTAGCGGGGAAAGGAGGTCAGGCCAGGAGGTGTGTGCCGTGACCAGCGCCGCGCCAGCAGCGCCCTGCCTGCGGCCGGGGGCGGCCCCGCCGCGATCCGCGCAGCCGGCGGCGCTCGGCGAGCAGCCGGACAGCTCCCGTTCCCGGTGCTCCGTGACCTCCCGAGGAGCTCCCGGTGCTCGGTGACCTCCCGGTGCGCTCCCGGTGCGCTCCCGGTGCTCGCTGAGCTCCTGAAGAGCTCCCGGTGCTCGGTGACCTCCCGAGCAGCTCCCGGTGCGCTCCCGGTGCTCGCTGAGCTCCTGAAGAGCTCCTGAAGCGCTCCCGGTGCTCGGTGAGCTCCCGAGCAGCTCCCGGTGCGCCCCCGGTGCTCGCTGAGCTCCCGGCACGGCTGCGCTCTCCCGTCCGTGTTAGCGCTGAGCGGGCGCGCAGCAGAGCTCACCCTTGGCCGCGCCGCGCCCGGCAGCAGCGGTGCCCACCCGCTCGCAGGCGCTGGCGCTGCAGGGCCCGCGGTGCCCGAGCTGGGAACGTCCGTGCTTTGTTCCCGTTCCTGCGGTGAGACCCCGAGCGCTGCCGAGGAGCAGTGGCGGGCTCCGGAGCTGCCTTCCCGGCACATCCGTGCAGCCCCTGCAGGCCAGCAGTAAACTGGAAGGTCCGGGTGCCCGCGGCTGAGCGCTCTGTGGGTTTGCTTTAACACAGGTCTCGTTTCCTGGCTGCTCCGGGACTTTCTTTAACGGAGTTTTTAGTTCCCCTCTGACCCTGCCCCTCGTGGAGGACACGGCCGGGGCCCCTGCTTCCAAACACCACCAAACACCACCTCTTGTGCTGCTTCGGGCCCCCAGGCAGAGCTCCCTTCTGTCCTTGAGGGCGCAGACTCTGCCCCACAGCTCACTGCGAGGGAGCGGGGCAGCAGGGCAGCAGCTGGGCTGTTGTCACTGATAACATTATTATAGTGCTTTTTATCAGTGACATTTTCTTTCAAGAGCAAATAATGTTTATTAATACCAGTTTTATATTTGTAGCACTATACCTTATACATGTGATGATTAAAGACCTGTGGCTTGGAAACAGGGGCAGGTAGTCTGAGCTTTGCAGTGCGTTACAGCCTGCTACGAGGACTGTAGCAAAGGCAGGAATTTAATATCGTACGATGTTGGCAAGATGTGAGGCACAAATTGCTCCCTGTCTCAAGCGCAGCAGCATCAGTTGATCTGACTTCTGTTCACTGCATTTTGTTCTCTTGCATGTGGTATAAGTACAAAGTGTTTTGGGTTTTGAGCAGGAAAAGTGTTTGATTATTAGCAGAACAGTTCCTTGTGGTGTACAAAGGGTCTCTGAGGCAGTGTTTGGACAAAGTGTGATCACTAGTTTGTAGCAGTCTGTGGTATTTGCTGCTCCAGAAGCAGTCAGAGGTGATGGAGGTTCACAGGTTGTTTTGGAGGAGAGCTGTGTTAGCTCAGGAATTGCCACATGCAGCTGGTAATTGCATCACCTTTGGAGTTCAGTTTCTGTGTTCGTTGGTTGGGCTTTCTAAAGCAGAGCTTGCTAAATGTGGGCTTCCTCTGTGTTGTGAAGGCCGTGCCAGAGCTCGGTGTAGCATTGGGCACAGCCTGGTACGCTGCGGGCGCTGCCTGCTCTGAATACAGCTGGCTCCCTGCTCAGCTCCCATGGAACACCGCAGCCCGGCTCCGGCTGGGGCAGAGCAGCCTGGCCGGGCTCCCGGCTCCCCCGTGCTAAAACCTCTTGTTGCCACACAGATCTCGGGGGTTTTAACGGGAAACTTCAGGTCTGGCTGTTGGGTGCTTTTCAGGTGATAACGGCTGCGTCTGCCCCAGAAGGGAAGCCAGGGTCTGGTTGTACGTGTGAATCCCTGCTGAGGCTGGGGTGTGTGAGGCTGCACCGTGGTACTGTCAGCATCGGTGCTGTGGGGGTGCTGCTTTGTTTCACTGAGCAAGTAAGAGACGAGACTCACAGAAATGAGGGTGGCTGAGAACAGGAACTTGTGTGGATGGTTGTACGTGGAAGAAGCTTTAGGAATAGCATTTAGAGATTTTATAAGACAAATGGTTTGTATTTTCTTTAGGCAGAGCTAAAAATTTCTTTTATTTACACTGATGGATAAAATACAACTCTTTGTCTCCCAGTTCATTAAATTAATTTGGGAATCCGGGTCACTCTGCAAACTTGGCTTTGTTTTACTGCACTGGAGTATGAACTGTAGGGCAGGTTGGTGGTTGCACCTCATTCTCACAACGTGTCACAGCTTTGCCATGTTTCTCTCACCGGGAGGGTACCGTTTCCCCTGGTGTAAAGGCTTTACTTCCAAAGGCAGTCGGTGGATCGGGAGCTCGGTGGTGGGGTAGGGCTGATGCAGGGCGGGGGGGGATTTGCTCCCTTATTTATCAGGGAAAACCACTACGTTTTTTCCCTTTCCTCTTTCCTCCCCCCGCCCAGAGGCAGTGAAGAGCCGGGCCCGTTTGGCTGCTTTGTCAGGGCTATTGTGCACATTGTTCAGGGCTAGCACCGAACTGTGTGTGTCTGGAGGGGAGGGGGGGCTTTGAAGCTTTAAGTGGGACTTAAATTCTCTTTCTGCTGGGGGCTGGCATTCTGCGTGTGGATTAAATTTTAACTTTCAAGCTTACAGTTGAAACTATTGTGCGTGGCTTGTACACGATTGCCAAGCACTCGCTGCCATCTGTTAGATCACCTCCAGTCCCTCCAGTAACAAAGCAGACCCGCGCCTTTCAGATGCCTTCCCTACGTCACATTTAGCGTTATCCATATTTTATGTAACTGGGCTCCCGATAACAGGGTAACTGCCACAGTGTTTGCCACTCGCCTCTAATTCACGGTGCCCAGCTATTTTCCAACACCAAGTCCTTCCCAAAGCCAGCAAGGGGCTATCTGCAGTGTAATAAACCAGGAATAGTGGTTGGTGATGGGGTTTCTGGACATCCTGAGTTGAGGCATTGCATCCTTCTGTGACAGCCGCCTTCTTGTGGCTGCACTGTGATGTTCTGTGGGGTAACGGTCAGTTCTGGTAGCTCAGATTTCCATGGGAAGTGATTGTAGGTGATGTGCGGTTACATCTCACACTAATGGCTGGTTTGCTAATTACTTAATTAGCCATCACCAGCGATGCCTTCAGAAGAGAGCGAATTCTTTAGCTCATCTTTTCAGGAGCAACTGGACAAAACCAATATTTTACTTTTTCTGTAATGAAATATTTCTACTATTGAGCATTGTAATTCAATTTGTAAGCCGTGACCCCTCATAAACTGTTGTTATCACTCTGATTAATAAAGAGCCAATTTGCTGTTGCAGCTTCGTCACTTGGGAAATGATGAGGTTCACATCGTCTGGTCTGAGCACACCAGGAACTACCGCAGAGGCATCATTCCCACAGACTTTGGAGATGTTCTAATTGTTATTTACCCCATGAAGAATCACATGTTTTTCATAGAAATAATGAAGAAACCAGAGGTATGTTTTGATTGATTTACTGCATCTCTCCTGTGTGTTATGCAAGGGACCAGTTGTTGCTTAAATAAAGCTCAGTGCTTTGGGTTTGTTTTACCAGCAAATACAAAATACAGTCCCTCCATCTCAGTTTAAAAGTATGCTGAGCAATGAGCTTTTATCTTAAACCTGGAGTTATGAATAGTGATGGAAATGGTTGCTAGTTCATGTTACAGTTGTGCTGTATTCCAGCATTCTCAACCCATAGGAGCTATTGTACGGTAAGAACAGTGCTTAAAGTCATTGTGGATTTCCACTATGGGGCAATAACAGCAAAATAATCAAGACATAAGTTCCTTATTTGCTATGAATTCAGTCCATGCAGCTTGGTTGCTGCTGTACGTGTGGTACCGTGGGTAACCTCACGATGTGACTCAGCAGGACTGTGCAGACACTGGGTATCCTTACATCAGGTTTGGTGCTTTCTGTTCAAATCATTGTTAATGCTACCACATTTTAGACACATTTTGGAAAGAATTGATTTTTTTCTTTTCCAAATGTCAGGGGTGTGTATGTACATCTGTCCATATATAGTATATAGGGAAAAAAAGCTACTTTAATGCTTGTCTGGTACATTATGAATGCAAAAATGTATATAAAATAAGCTTTATGGAAGTAATCAGTGTGATCAATCCCATTTCCTTTATATGAGGGACAATATCTGTCAAGAGAATAACCAGCTGTGGATAAATGCCTATATCAGGTATGTATTTACCAGCTGGTACTTTTTGAGTTATGAATGATGGAGTTGTTATATATTGATATTCTATATTAGATTATGTTATATATTGATGGAGTTATCAGGTATTAACAGCCAGTGGTTTGCCAGTGTATGTTTCAAACTTGGTTTCTATATTGAAATAGTGGGGTTTTCCCTACACTTGATTTTGAGTATTTTGGGGGAGTTTTAGCTTTTCATGTTCCATCAGGACCATCAGGACTTGGCATTAGGAACGCGCTGGGTAATTCTGTGGAGCAGTGGAGAAAAGCCATGTCATCTTCCATATTAGTCAAAAACACCCACCGGGCAGAAAGAAGAATAGCTAACTGGAAATTTAGTGTTATCCCTACATTTAAAGTACAAACCATTACAATGTAATAAAATTAATCCAGACATTTCCAGGGCAAGTGTGGCTGACCTTTTGTTCACCAGCTACTGACCCCAGGGTGAATGAGAGAGGCTTGCAGAGAGAAATGTCTGTTGTTTGGCTTCGGTCCCTGGTATTTAAATTGCATTCCCTAATCAAATGAAAAGGCTGTCCTCTCTATCAGGTTACAGAATCCATGGCAACATTTGGCCTTTTATATGCATAATGTTAGCCTTTTTGTTTGCATCTAAGCAGAGACACCTGGAGCAATGTTAACATTAACCGATTTAGCATTAATAGCTTCATTATAGAAGAATTTCTGATCAGATAGCTGTTACTTTTGTTATATTGCCTCAGCTTGTATTGTTTTCATTTTTTATCTCCCTGCTTGGCAACCAGGCAATGATTTGCAAATTTTTTTTGTCTTGATTAATTAAGCAATATAATTATCAGGAGCCGGGATGCAGTCTTTGCCCGACAAAGCTGCTGGGGGAAGACAATAGTAAGTCTGTTAGTGTGAATGCATTCCACGCGTCACAGATGCATGAGGATATTCGGAACAATGAGACGAAAAGCTGCCTGCAAAAGGGGACAAAGAATGCCAGGCAGACTCTACACGCGGCACATACCGCCAGGGACATGCTGCGGGTTCCCTGGGACACAGATGCCTCGTTAGATTGCAGCTAGTCAGCAGAGATTAATTCTCAGCCATTTGGTACAATAATTTCCCCATTCCCCACTCCTTTAACCAGTGCTGCGCGCTGGAGAGGGGCAGCCTTTGTGCTCAAAAGGTTTATTTAACCTTGCCTACTTTTACTGCGGGCAACGGAAATGGTGATTTTTCTCGGCGAGGCTGTAATGAAGCAGGTGTTTGCGAGGGGCTGAATATTCATTCCTGCCTCGTGGAGAGCCCGCGCTGACATTTGGGCGCTCGAGGAAGGGGACGTTTCCCTTCCCTCGCTTCTTCATTGAGTCCGTCAAAGCCCAGCGTGGGTTTGCAGCCACTCACAGCCCCCTTTTCCTCCCGTGGGTGTTTGATTCCGACCCACGGAGAGCGCTGAGCCGGGAGCGCGTCCCTGTGCCGGGGTCCCCCCTCCGGCCCCTGTACAGATGGAAGCTGACGATACGCGACTCCCATTGACTTTAATGACCCTGAGCGTGGCCGCTGGGGCTGCTCGGAATGAATAATGCCCGGCTTTGTGTCAGGGAGGGCGTATGGTCCGGCTGTGCCGCTGCCTGTGCTGCTGCTCCTGCCTGTGCTGCTCCCTGCCTGCTCTGCTCCTGCCTGCTCTGCTGCTGCCTGCACTGCACTGCTCCTGCCTGCCTGCACTGGTGCTGCCTGCCTGTGCTGCTCCCTGCCTGCACTGCTCCTGCTTGTACTGCTCCTGCCTGTACTGCTGCTCCCTGCCTGCACTGCTGCAGCCTGCGCTGCTGATCCCTGCTTGCACTGCTGCAGTCTGCGCTGCTGATCCCTGCTTGCACTGCTGCAGCCTGCGCTGCTGATCCCTGCTTGCACTGCTGCAGTCTGCGCTGCTGATCCCTGCTTGCACTGCTGCAGCCTGCGCTGCTGATCCCTGCTTGCACTGCTCCTGCCTGAATTGCTGCTGCTGCCTGTGCTGCTCCCTGTCTTCCCTGCTGCTCCTGCCTCTGCTGCTCTTCCTGCCTTCCCTGCTTCTTGCCTATGCTGCTGCTCCTGCCTGTGCTGCTCCTGCCTGTGCTGTTGCTTCTGCCTTCCTTGCTCCTGCCTGTGTTGCTTCTCCCTGCCTGCACTGTTCTTCCAGCCTTCCCTGCTCCTGCGCTGCTGCTCCCTGCCTGCACTGCTGTTCCTGCCTGCACTGCTGTTCCTGCCTGCACTGCTGCTCCCTGCCTGCACTGCTGTTCCTGCCTGCACTGCTGTTCCTGCCTGCACTGCTGCTCCCTGCCTGCACTGCTGTTCCTGCCTGCACTGCTGTTCCTGCCTGCACTGCTGTTCCTGCCTGCACTGTGCCTGCCTGTGCTGCTGTTCCTGCCTGCACTGCTGTTCCTGCCTGCACTGCGCCTGCCTGTGCTGCTCCTGCCAGGCCGGGCAGTCTCCAGGGTCAGCCGCACATCCCAGAGCTGGGATCCCACTGGCAAACCCTGCTCCGGGTTGGGGCTGCACTGGGCTTCACCTGCTAGCAGAAAGCCAGTGCCCGCCACACACAGTCACTTCCATCCCTTGCAGTATTCTCCTTTCCGTCTGCCAGAGCAGGCCGAGCTCCCTGTGAAGTGCTGGGAACTTCTGCCCAGGGACAGATCCTGGAATAAATCTGTTTGAGTGCTGGGGGCATGCTGGAAAGCCTGTGTCCCAGTGCCGGGAAGTCACCCTCCAGCGCTCCCACCGCACTCCTATCTCTGCACCCTGGTCAGGGATGCTCAGGAAAGCTCTCTGGATCTAGGGCTCAGCCTGGCTTAGCCTCCTCTTCTGGTTAAAGGGAGCGTAATTTCTGACTTACTGGAATTTGACTTTTAAGCTTTCAGAGGAAGCCATTAGTTAACTTAGTTTTAAAATGTCACACATCAGAGGTGGTTTTGGTAAATTTACTGGAGAGAGCCACTGAAATGGTTTTAAATGTGAGCTTATGCACATGTATGTATTCATACACACACACAGATAAGGTGCATAAATGTACACACCGCGTCTGCACTGTGCATGTACAACCTGTGTCACACGGCGTTAACAAAACCCACCCCATCCCTGGGCTGCAGCTGGCTTTGAAACCCCGGAGCAAAGTCCTCGGAGCAAACCTGGCTCCTCAGAAGGCCCCATGGTGCAGTTCCCTCTGTGTGGAAGTGCTCATCTGCTCTAAGGGTCTGGAAACTGCGAGCTGGTGTCATTTTAATACCAGTCTGTACCTAACCTCCTTATCTGTACTGCTGTGCAGATGCAGGCTTACCGGTTTTCTCCTTTTGTCAATCCTGTGAACACGGTATGTGTTAAGAATGCCACTAGGGAATGTTAGTGCTTAAAGAGGAGAGACCTGATGCTCTGCAACATCTCCGGCTGCTGGTGTAGAACTCCTCCTTGGCCCCTTTCTTCCCAACCGTCGAGGTGGGAATGCCAGCATCAAAAAACAAAGGCAAAGGCACTATGGACACACTGTACACTAACCTGGTTTTTGGGGGTGGGTAATTCTTTAAGCAACGGAATGACAGAATAACCGTGCTGGAAAGACAGCTGTCATTTGCAGATGTTAGATTAAAACCAAATTTCTTCTCTAATTCATTGCCACTTCTAATTAGAGGAATTCCCTAGATGCAGGGGATTTATATGATTCCCTTTGTCCAGTTATTGAATGACTGTCACAGTCACCCACGAGCAGTTGCAGAAGAATAATGGAGGGTATTTATTTACGTGATAAGCCCCTGTACAGATGGAAAAAATCCATAGCTTAAATATTGATAATTGCTGCTGGCTTCTGTCTGGGGCTTGGGCTGGGGGTGGGGTTGGTTTTGTTGTGGAAGGGGAAGGAGTTTGCCTGGAAACACTACGATGTATTTAAACCTCAGTGTTTCCGGGGTTCGGCATGGCAGAGCCCGTTACCCATCTGCAATTCCGGGCGCCTATGGCTTTCCTAAAGCATCTCTCTAACCTCATACAGCCTTTGTGTGCGGAGCTGTGTGCCAGCACGGGGCCCTGGGGGGCTCCTCTGGAGGTGATGCTGCAGGAGCAGGGTTCAGCACCTCGAGGTGCCTGTGCCTGTCCCAGCCCTGCCCCGCAGGGTGGTGGTTTCCACAGTGTGGTGGGACCAGTTTCTGGCAGGATAATGCACTGGTGATGGAGTGGGACACGGGTTTTGGCACGCTGTTCCTGTGTGCAGTGGGGGGTGCTCCCGTGCTTTGCGCTAACCTCAGCCTCACACGCGTTGTTTCTGCTTGGCTGCGCAGGTGCCGTTCTTTGGTCCTCTCTTCGACGGAGCCATCGTGACCGCGAAGCTGCTGCCGAGCCTCATCTGTGCCACGTGCATCAACGCCAGCAGGGCCGTCAAGTCCCTCATCCCGCTCTACCAGAGCTTGTATCCTTTGCTCCGGGGGCAGGCTCCTTGGCAGGGCGCGTGCTTGAACGCTGCTCTGCAGAGAGGTAAGCTGGGATGAGAGCCTTCCGTTGGAGTTCACTGGGCAAGGCCTTCATAAGGTCATAATGTGACAGGAGTGTTCTCCATCTGTCTGATGGTGGCAGGCTCAGGCTTAACGCTCTTTGAACTGTAAGTGACAACAGTACTGTTCTCTTTCTCACTAACAGAAGTTTCCTGCCGTGTGTATTGGGTTGTACACAGAGCTTGGTCCTGTTCTTATCTTATTCAAAGAAGAGGTCCAAAAGTCTTCACTTGGACCTGTTCCGTTAGACTTGTTCCATCAGACTTGTTCCGCTAGGATTTAGCCTCAGATACGGATGTTTCCATTCCCAAATTCCAGTTTCATTGCAGCCACATCTCTATTGGGGCACTTTCAGAAGGTCTCTTCTCCCAGGTGCTGGAAAGTGACTCTCAGGTGTGCTGCTCTGCTGCAGGGCTGGGAGCACAGACTTATCCCTGTGCTCTGTACCGACTGACAGCATTGCTGCTGGGTTTTTCTCATGATGCCATATTTATGCCAGAAACATTGTATAGCTTGCTTTGTGATCGTGTCTCCTATGTTGGGACCAGCAGTCGCTGAACTGCAGTTGCTTTGGGGAGCTTTTGGTCTGAGTATTTCTGTAGCGATGTGACACTGAGAAAGAGTTTGTAAATGAAACGTTTTGACCTGTGAGAGAACACTGATCAGTGTGAGACATTTTTAAACACAAATACCCACAAAATACTGTTCTCTTTACTGAAAGGCTAAATTCCCCCCAGTGCGCTCTGCGGAAGCGGGCAGCAGTGAGAAGCAGCGTTGTGGTTAAATGAGTTTGTACGGTATGAGCGTGGCTGTGACCTGGTTTAAAGCGAAGATGTGGTTGCTGCCTGTGCAGTTGGCTCTCAGCAGATAGGAACCTTGCTGAGTTTCCTGGTGTTGTTTTGGGAGAGAGCTGTAGGTAATTACCAAAGTGCAGAGCTGAGCTTCACCCGTCCGCTCCTATAGCCAATGTGTAACAATAAAATAGCTCTCAAGCAGTAAAGTTAACGTGAGTACCAGAGACCCTGCTGCTATCCCAGCACCTCACCCCAGCTGGAGTCCTCCGATTCCCACTCCTGCTCTTCCTTTTGGCTTTCAGCATCCTGCCGTGCTCCTGCTTCCCAGCCGGGCCTCTCTGGGTCCCCCTTGTCCCCAGGGGAACATGAGCAGCAGGAACATGATAGCACATGCCCCTTCCCAGCATATGTGTGAGGGCTTGCTGGAGCAGCATCTGTCCCCGGATTCTTTTCTTCCTTTCTTGTGCCTGCTTTCGCATCAACGGTATCTGCAGTGAATCAACTGCCACTTGTCTGTTTGATAGATGAAAGTGGATTGGGAAACCTCTGACACTGGGCAGGGAGAACGTAGTGGGATGATCCCGTCGGGATGATGCTGCAGAGGGAGAAAAAGCTTTCCGTAACTGCTGCTATAGGTGACACCTTTAGCTGTACTGAAATCCTTAGTGAGCCACAAGCTGGGGTGTAGGTGTATACATGTGTAAGGTGGTGTGTGGACTGTCCCATGCAGTAATGGGGTTTTGTAGCTCCTGCAGGGTGCACACACAGGAAATGGCTCTGCTGAGTGCTACTGGAACAGGAGGATTGGAACACTAAGTGAAGGAGTTTAGTAACTGTCAGACTGAGAGATGTTACTTTAATGGTGATGAAATAATCATGCTGTTTTCATGAGGGGTGGTATTATCTGGAGATGAAAACAACTCAAATAATACAGAAAATTCCAGTGGGAGGGAGAAACAGAAGTCAGTAATCCTGGCAAAGTGAGGGGTGAGGGTTGGCAGCGCATCAGCCATGAGGCTGTGGTTCAGGTGAGTATGGACCAGCTTGTGTAGAGCAGAGCTGAGGAGGGCTCTGCCAGTGGAACTCACATGGGCCATGTTAGAAGTCAGCACCCATAGAATGAGGGTTAGTAACTGAAAATGTCCTGGATTCCAGCATCTTCAGAAATGGACTGGACGCTCCATCCAGCATGAGGGGGTCCATGGTGATGGGCTCCTGTTGTTGGAGCAGCGGCCGGTGCAGAGCATCTGTGGGGACCTGACCGCCCCCAAGCAGAGCCCCAACCCTGATCCCAGGCTGGGGGGGGCTCAGGAAGGAGTCAGGCTGTGCCCATAGGGAGCGGTGCCCATGGGATGTGGTGCCCATAAGGAGCGGTGCCCATGCGAGGCAGTGCCGATGGGATACAATGCCCATGGGATGCGGTGCCCATGGGGAGCGGTGCCCATGGGGTGCAGTGCTGATGGGGAGTGGTGACCATGGGATGCAGTGCCCATGTGAAGTGCCCATGGAGTGCAGCACTGATGGGAAGCGGTGCCCATGGGATGCAATGCCAATGGGTAGCAGTGCTCATGGAATACAGTGCCTGTAGGTAATGGTGCCCATGGGTTGCAGTGCTGATGGGGAACGGTGCCCATGCGATGTAGTGCCCATGGGATGCAGTGCCCATGGGATGCAGTATCCATGGGATGCTGTGCTGATGGGGAGCAGTGCCCCTGGGATGCAGTGTCTGTGGGACACTGTGCTGATGGGGAACGGTGCCCATGGGATGCAGTGTCTGGGATGCTGTGCCAATGGGGAGCAGAGCCCCTGGGATGCAGTGCCCATGGGAGAAGTGCCCATGGGGAGCAGTGCCCCTGGGATGCAGTGTCTGTGGGACACTGTGCCGATGGGGAACAGTGCCCATGGGGTGCAATGTCTGTGGGGCACTGTGCCCATGGGGAGCAGTGCCCCTGGGATGCAGTGTCTGTGGGACACTGTGCCGATGGGGAACGGTGCCCATGGGATGCAGTGTCTGTGGGACACTGTGCCGATGGGGAACAGTGCCCATGGGATGCAATGTCTATGGGGCACTTTGCCCATGGGGAGCAGTGCCCCTGGGATGCAGTGTTTGGGATGCTGTGCTGATGGGGAACGGTGCCCATGGGATGCAGTGTCTGTGGGACACTGTGCTGATGGGGAACAGTGCCCATGGGATGCAGTATCTGTGGGACACTGTGCCGATGGGGAACGGTGCCCATGGGATGCAGTGTCTGGGATGCTGTGCCGCTGGGGAGCAGTGCCTGTGGGATGCAGTGCCCATGGGACACGGTGCCGAGCAGCCCCTCGCCAGCAGTGGCAGCTGAAGTCACTTGTTGAAGTCTGTAACTCCGGCTCCAGCTGCACTTGTCAGGGGCTGTAAGGGAAGTGTAATCAGCCACGGAGAGTCATTTGCATCTCAATTAGGAAGGAGTCAGGAGGAAGCGGTGGGGCCTGTTGCTGGAAGGCTGTGGAAGAAATCTCATCAGGCACAAAAGGCCCCCGAGTCCCCGTGCTCCAGCCAGGGGAGGACAAAATCTGAGCCTGGTTTCCATGGGGACCAGGCCGGCAGAGCCTGGCTGCACCGTCATCGCTTGGTCATCATGACACAGATTCCTGTGTCATACCCAGATACGGTTCTCAGCTGGCAGTCTGTTTGGAAACGAGGCAGGTAACTCTGGCAGACCTCAGCGGATGCTCGTGTGTTAATGGAACTGCTGCTGCTTATGGAATTCATTAGGGCGAGAGAAACACTCCTCACAAAGTAATTAACCAGGCTTAAACTTGAGCCTGAAGCCCCCGTCTCTTTGTACACACCACATGGCAAAACCCGGGGCAGGTATCACAGAGCTCAGTGTCCCTTGCACGGCTGGAGCTGGTCCCCACTGTCGCTCTGCAGGGTGACACTGGGCCGTGGTGGTCAGACACGAGTGTGTGCTCAAACCAGTGGTGTCCGGGAGTGTTTCATCCCCGGAGCACTGGGGATTGAGACCCTCAGGAGCTGTTGAGTGTGGGGTGCTGGTGCCCCAGCAGCTCCTCAGGCAGGTTTGTTTTAACCATGGCTCTGTATTTACAGAAATCTTGAGCAACGAGGTGGCTTAAATTATGTCAAACCAAGGAAGAATAATATTTGTACTTCCTAAATAATAATATTTAATATTCCTAAAATTACGGTATAAAAATGTGTATGTTTGTGCCAGTTTGGGGGGATCATTTAAGCCACCTTTCTATGTGCTGGAGAAAGGAAGGGACAACAAAGCTCACAGAAGAATAATGACTACATCAGGAATGAAGTTGCTCTGAATGAAGGCCGGCTAAAGCAGCGGTGAATGATGGTCAGGGTGGAAGAGCACCACAATTCCCAGAGCAGGATGAAACCCAGCACGTTGGGAGCCTGGTGCGAGCTGCAGCTGGGGTGAGCAGGACACCCGAAGCAGGGGCTGCTCTGGTTCCCGGGAGTATTCCAAAGCATGGGGGCAGTGCTGACAACAAACTGCCCCTCTGTGCTCCCTTCCAGCTGATACCAAACCAGTTGTGTGCTGCTGGAAAGGGGACTTGAACACTGGTGCATGATGGAGCCCCAGTGGCTCTGAGCTGCACCTCTCTGGGGCTGGTCTTGGCTGCAAAGACAAATACTGGGGGAGAGAACGGGGTCTGTATTCAGGTCTTTATTCTGGGTCTGATGCACAGCCCCTGTTCCAGCCGACAGTTCCGAAGCTCAGGTGCTCCAGACACAGGAACGTAGCTGAGGCTGCAGTGCCCAGGTGCTGTGCTTGGGCTGGGATTCAGTGTCTGTCTGCAGAAAGACTTTGGGCTCTGGGGATAGCGATGCCTGAGCAAAAAGCTCCCCTTGGAGTGCACAGGGAATTGCAGCTTTGACTATCCAGCATCCAGGCTGTCTGTCAAATGGAGCGGTTTCCTTGCTCCTTGACTTCCATTGCTCTTGTTCAGAGCTCTGTACGTTGGTCCCAGGTTTGGTCATGAAATTCCATCACCAGGAGCTGCTGCTTTCCCATCTGACCTGTTTCGCAGTAACAACAAAGTGAGCATCCCCGAGTCCTACATCTGTCATCAGCTGGTAGTGCAAACTGCTCTTGACAGGCAGGGCG